GGCCCTCTTCACATCCCTATCAATGGCTACTTCCATTAAGTCTTAAAATTCCTTGAGGTTGCCATGTGGATAGAAAAAATGATGGGATTTCACCCTCGGTTAGTGGAATTATTTTTTTTTTCACTAAAGTGTTAAAAGGGAACATACGCCTTCTAGTTTCCTATTCATGATAATCCCATGATGAAATCGTACATTAAGATGATGATATATTTCATAACATAGCTATAATATTTTTATTATCTAGATGAAAGAATCTAAGCATTAGCAGATGATGCGCAATCACATAATGCAATGGTTCTTTGTGTGTAGCACTAGCCATTGCTTACTTTGAAGCATTGAAAATATGTCGACTAATAAACTGAGATATTTGCTTGATGGTATCCCATCAAGAACATTTTTGCTTGATGGGATCCATCAAGTTTCGTTTTACCCGATGGGACCCCAACGACGGTACACGTCACAATGTTCTAGTATAAACATACGGTAAGTCGCATTGCCGCTAACGCGTGACTGCTGGCCGAGCTTGAGCCTTCGCCTCGTTTCTGCTGTACCGGGCCACCTTTCGGGGGAATCGGGTCCTGTCGCTGGGCGCGTCCGTGGTCGAGGGTCCGTGACCGAGCAGCGAGTCCCTGGGACATTGCGCACGACGCGGATTCTGGTCCAAGGCTTATGCGGGGATGCCGTTGTGTTGGCCAACCTCGAGGGCTCGTTCGACAAGAGTTGAATTGTGCCGAATTTGGATCGATTTCCTAGAGCTGGCGCCGGTGCACCGATTCTCGAAGGCAGATCTGTAGCGCTGGGCGAACCGGGGCAGTCGAGGAGCATGCGTCATGCTTTGGCTTGCCGTGTCTTTTGGACAATTGGATCCTATCATGCATTTGTTGTTTTGACCTGTGCAAGTGTATTCGGGTCTGCTGCCGCGGTTGAGGTCTGAATCAGTGAGGGCGTGACAAAGATAGAGGAATGAGACGAAGCGGGAGCACAAAGCCCAGATATTCCTTCGCGATCCATTTCCAACATTGCAATTGCTTTCATATTCCATGTTGGAAGTTACCTTGTTTGTCGACTTGCGTTCGCTTTCTTCTTTCCGTCTTCTTTTGAGCAATTTTCTTGAACAAGCAAATCCGAGATGGTCTTCTCGGACAAGGTTCTAGATAATCTGCACTTTCGCCTAATTGGCTCTTCAATTGTGGCATCATACTACACCACCCTTCGTGATCACGGCAAGAAGTTCACTTGAATAGATTTTCACGGCTTGAAAGAGATAGCAGGCATCCACAACATCTTGTGTCCATATAATACAGATGCAACGCCACTCCCAATTCAGCTTCTTATACCTTTAACGAATCCTTCCCCTCTATTGCAAGAGTTTAAATCCTTGGTTAAATTACCTCATTATCTTCAGAACCTTACATCAAGTGCTCAATAAAGGTCAAGGGGTGAATTGATACGTGGAGAACCGGTGATTACATCTCCATCATTACTCTTTTCTACCTCTCTAAAATCGTTCAGTACCTCTTGAATTTGTTCACTTACTGGAGTCTAACAGTGATCCGAAGTAACCAATGTTCTAAGTTACAAATGTTACAAGAATATATTCTTAAAAGAACAAATACAAGAACATGTACAAGAATAATGTAATATAAGAACATTTATTAGAACTCATTGATGGCACACCGTCCGAGGGGTCCCATCGGGTAAAACGAAACTTGATGGGTTCCATCAAGCAAAAATGTTCTTGATGGGGTACCATCAAGCAAATATCTCCTAATAAACTAGAAAAAATTATATACCCCATCATTTACTATGATAGTTTGTAGTATATTTTCTCATGAACATATCACCATAGTTCTCACTCAAACTTATAATCATTCAATTGCCAGGATAAAAGGAAATGAATTCTCTACAAGTCATGTACATAAAGATTTGGAGTCATGGAGCTTCACTTGTTTTTCATCCAAGAATATTAGTAAGTATTCTTTCAAAAAATTCAACATACTTAGTATTCATCATCTTTACTTATGCAATCATGGTCGTCAAAAAATTCTTCATTTTAAAATCGTCCAAATATTTAGCATTTAAAACCTCTAAAAAAATTTTGAATGAATTTTTGTCTCCAATTTCTTTAGTCTTCATTTTTTACCTGGTTGTTCATACTGCTAAAACTCCATTATGCAATTTTTGTAGCTACTTACTGTTGAACCGTCTATACTAGCTCAAGATTATATAAACTATTGCAAGGTTTTTAATTTTTTTTTTAATATCTGTTTAAGCCGTTGTGATTTAAAGTATTATGTCAACTACTGAGTACATCATAAAACATTATGCTGATCTTCATATATAATACTCATTAAAGATCTCAAATTTTTATATCGATCAATGTCAAAAAAATTTCTAGCATCATTTAGATCCCAATTTTAATCTTCACTTTCGAAAAATTCAAAAGTGAACATGAATTATAAAATAACATCTATCAAAAAAATATTTCAGTTGCTAAAGAAAATTTTATTCATTTTTTTAAAATTATATTTTTTTAATGCGTTCTTATCAAGTTATCAAATATTCCAAAAAACCTCAAAAAACTTGCAAAATAATTTCCACTTAATAAAAATTATTCACTAGCAAAAAGGAAAGATGTCAATTATAATTTCTGACTAAACTAAAACTACAACAATTTGATTTGGAGTATCGTGTAGTTTGTTTTACAGATCCTTGATATGAAGGTTTGGACAAGATCTCCTCATTACTTTCATTGGGATAAGATAAACTTCCAACCTTGTATCACATTTTAGGTACGAAAATTTCAATCTCTTGAAATCTTATCATTATCTTATTTGTTAAGTCCAAATCAAACGTAGTCTCTCTGTTGTCACTAAAATTCATACATATTTGACCTTAATTTTTGTGCCCATATCAATAAACTAAACATTTAGGAAGCGGTTAATTATTCCTCACCTTCCGCCTTCCATCGCCACATGTTCACGGCGAGGGCACTGTCGGCCCCAGCACACCATGACAACTGGTCACCTCGCGCTCTGCCGTTTGTCTAGTCATCCTATTCACATTTTCACGCTTCTGCAAGCGGCTATTCTGGTCGTTCTGTCTTGTCCTTCCGTCTTCCCGCTGAAGGGCTGAAGGGCTGAATCGCTCGGTGGATCATTTTCGTGGTGCACATGCACATGCTCGATGATCTTGATCGAAACTCAGCGAGTGATAGAGACGCTGAATTGACGCATTTATGAATGCTTAGCGGAGTCTTCATTCATTTCTTTCTCTCGGGCTATTCTTCTCGCCGGAGCCACGGCTTGGTCTTGGAGTGATTATTGAGTACTCTTGTGCACGTGGATACGAGCGATGGAACGCGTTGAGTGAGATATAATTACACCTAATGAACATAATCTGATGGATCACTAGCGGCTCCTAAAATTTATACATGCTGTAATTTTTTCCTAATCATAGTACGACACCATAATTTAATCTTTTCAAATCAAATATTAATATAGAACACATTACATGATTTACATTTTTATGTACTTTTGCAAACACCTTATATACGTGATATCATAAATAATTTAAAACTCTGTTTAAAAATAAAAATTTGATCAAATTTAACTTTTCTATATATTATATCCCCTTACATGTAAAATATTAGTATATAAATGTATAGAAAATTTTTATTGACCATCTGTTGATGTGAAAAAAAAGCTGAAAATGTTTGATGCATTGTGATATCAAAATACAAGAATATAAAGTTTCAAAACACAAGTATAGAAAAAATCTTTGCATGACAAAAAAACGCCAATTAAACCAAAGAATATGTCCAACTAGCAAACTAAACTCATGTTGAAGTCAATCATCAATCATATCATATTATAAAGTTTTAGTTTGATATATGGGATTAAATTTAAGCTCATGCTAGATTTTAATAATAATATGTACCTTATTATTCCATAACTGTATATTTAAAAATTTCCTTCATATTGTTTATGCAAATATTTCAATATATATATTTTTATTTAAAAGGAAAGAAAATTCCAAGATTATCTAGATAAACAAGGAATTTTAAGCAAATATATTTTTTTTCATCAATACAAGATATTTAATCCATAAAATTTCTTAACAGATGTATTTCTTCGTACAAGATTTTCAATTTAAGATTTGAACATACTTAGATTACCATAGTAATAAAATAGTCATATACATATTTTAGTAAATTAAAAAACATCCACAATATGTGTATCATGAATTAAAAAGTGATGTATAAAATAGCAAGGCCAAAACTGTAGGTATAAGAGCTTCATATTAAGCCATGAAAAATTAACGTATTTCTAATTTTTTTTTGGGAGTACAGGTATTGCATTCTATAGTAATAACTCTTCTCAGCATGGTTTGCTTTTTGAAGGGATTGCAACCCAAAGAGAATCATGTAATCACTCTACACGTCTAGATACCTCGCCATTTCTAGTGTTGGTTTGTGATAAATCTATTTTTTCCAACCACCAAGAGATAAAGTGTTAATTGTAGAGATATTTTTTTTTAGTGTTTGTTAGATATTCTTCTAATGGATTCGGCTCTGTTAAGCATTTTTGATGGTTACGTTAGACTATATAAGTTGTAGGGATGCACCATGACAACATGACTGAAATGAAGGTGGACAAACAGGAGCACAGGTACTGGTATGATTGTTTTAGGAAAAACTTGATACAGTTTATCTATGGTAACTATTCACTAATGTTTCATTCGATGTAGACGGTTTGTCGGTCATAATTACCACTTGACCCCTGGGGTCTCTCCATTGACCTCAAACCGCCAACGAGACCAGGTCTGACTTTGAGAGTGAGGTATTCGCTCACAATACCAAATAATAAAGAAAAAGCACAGACCGGAATTATGATCAGTAACTAACGCCTACCGAGTTTCCCACCTTTCGCATAAGGTAGCTCAGAATGTATAGAGAGGTATATATTTGGAAGGGGACATCATTATCCCAGGAACTGACACGGACCCTGCCGATTTGACCTCCACACCGCATGAGTGGCTGGTCTCAAGTCTTCTGCAGCTGGCTCCTGAGTTCTCGCACCAGTTTATGCGCACACGTTGAAATGATGGGCTTGTGCAATTGTTGGCACAAGAATGAACAGAGACTATTCGATCACATAGTATCTTATGGTGCTCTATGCAGGCGACGGCGGTGGTCAGCACCCAGGACTTCCAGCAAAAAGTGGAATGAATCCCAGGGAGCTCGTTCGCAGAGAAGACATGAGCGCATCCCAGCTTTCAGGACTTCCAGCAGTGAGTGGGAAGTCGCAGACGGTTCGTTTGCGAAGAAGACATCAGCCCATCCCAGATTCTGGACGTGGACTAGAGTCGGTTTAGTTTATAGTTTCTGATGTTATGTAATTTTTAATGGCCATTTTTTTGTTGACGTGAGAGTTCATTGCAATGACTCTAGCGGTAGAACATGCTTGCAATTCCGAATATGACAACTCTTCTTGCAACTGGCTGTTTTCAGTCTCCAATCTATTTTTCTGCTTCACGACTAGACGCGACATCCAACTCAAGGAATACTTTCTTCGCAGTTGTTCGTACTTGCCAATCTACTTCTGTAGTCCAAACGCGTGATGACAATCTTCAAGTTCATAGTCGCATTCCAGATGATGAAACGAGTTCCTGTCGGTCACAGGAACTCGTTTCATCATCTGGAATGAAACGAGTTCCTGTGACCGACATCACGTCTCCACCACGAGATTCAATGAGACGAGGTGGAACTGTATCAGAACTTGAAACGAATCCGAGTTCAGGCATGATTTGGAACCTTCTCACAGTGTTCGTGACATGTGTTCCTTCTTGGCGTTCATGCAATTGAAAGTGATTGTTGATCAATTTAGTTCAAATTAGGAGCATCCTGTTGACCTCATGCAAAATGGGTGCATCGTTAGACTTGAATCTAATCTCCAGCCAAAGCTCACCTACATCCCGAAGCTTTCTGCTGCTCCTCAACTTACAGCAACAGCTAGTGAGTAACAATGACTTCTCAGAGATAGGCTGACAGATAATCAACAAGAAGAAAGCTTACAGTCGGCCGAAACTTGCTGAATTTGTATAAGCAAGTTCTCACATACGGAAACTTTACAGCGTTTGAGATTCTGCTGTTATATTGCGTCTTTTATTATCCGATTCGTAGACAAGAAGATTCTTTAGATTAAATCCTGCAGTGGCGCTGTTTATGCCCTGTGATAGAAACTAGGAAGATTGTAACTCGGTCGGATAGATGTCATGACGAACTCAGATTGGTTCCATATCCGTTACTGGAACCATCAGTTGTCGTGCTCTTGTAGGAATTTAGGGAAGTACCAGGCTCTCTTAAGAACCGTGCTTTTTATTCTTTTCTCTACCCGTTCTTCACTCTGTTTGACATTGATGAATCAAGACTTCATACACTCCACTAACTTATATAATTTCCAGGTCTTCCAAGGAAGACATTACTTCTGACTTTGTTAGACATTTTGCAACGAAACTCAAAGTTATAACTGCACAGAGTTTACAAGGACACCAACAATAATGCAACTGCTCTTATTTTCATGATGAGGCGTTATCAAGCTGTTATTGCCGTTATGTCTTACACTGTTACATATTATGTTTTTCTTTGCTACTAAGAATTTTATAAGAAATAACAATCTCAGTTCAAATTTATATAGAATACGTTCGTTAATCTCGGTCATGACTGACTGTATAAGTATATGATTAAGTAAGATGTAGTTATAAAAGAGAAAGACTAAGTATGCCCCTGGAGTGGTTCCCATATCAAAGACTTATAATATTGATCAGCATAATATCTTGTGAGTCACCATGTTCTGCCCATGTGCTGACTCACTCACTGCTGACTCGGATCAGGATCTGAATGAATGTGCATGCAGTGTGAGCTTCGTGCAACGGATAAACCACGTTAGAATTGCTGTCGACGAATAATGAAAATCTTAGATTCTATGCAGCGATCAAACGAAGGATATCGACAACGATTAAATATTATATATTTTATGAATAAGTTTAAGGACATGGTATCCGTGGCAAGAATGTGATTTAAAAGCTCGGATGATTCGTTTAATAACGAGGTCCGTCAAGTGCTCCACCCAGCCATTTGAGCAATTTTCAAGCCTAGCATGATTGTCCGACACAAGAGGAGAACAAGGATCTTTCCAATTTGACAAATATGTTGAGGAAATAATTCCGAGTGATCCAACTTACTACGAAGTCGTTTTATTGCATGGAAATTGCACGCAATTGCTATCGCAGTCCATTCAGACGAAAGGACTGCAACATTCCATACCCCTAGCTGTACGGGTTTTATATACAGGACATATACTCGAGTGTATGTACAGTACTTTGAAATTTTTGATTGTGATCTAACCGCAGAGCAGCTTGATCATTCCTCTTGGCTCCTTAGAGCTTAGTCTTCCAATACTTCAATGGAAATGAATGTCGGTTCGAGAGTATTTGATCACCGCGATCACTTTTGGGCTTTACATCCGAAAGCTAAACATCCTCGAATTCTCATGAATGATGCAACTTCATACCTCTCGTATCGGTTTGTTGAGTCATCTACGCTCTTGCGCTTGGTCCATAACGATGCCGAACAGGTCGTTTAACTCTATAGCTCATCTACATGCCTGGCTTTAGTAGCAGGTATTCAAGACTATTTATCCTTGGAACATCCACCTCCTTACGTACCCTATGAAACTTGACTTGAACTTGATCCCTCGTGCGCCAAAGCGGAATGATTGATTATCTTCTCATGCCTGGAGGCGTGGAACTGGCCACGGGGATAAAACCGCAGGTCATGGTTGGTGCAGATAGAGAGTACCTGGGTTGCACGGGTCCATGTCTTGGTTCTCATTAAATCGATGGAGCTGCAGGATTTCCCACCCAACTCCACGCAAGTGAACTCAAAGGTGAATGTTGTTTGCGAGAGTTAAAAGGAGATGCTTTCCCAGAGAAAGAAAGAAAGCAGAGTCAAAAGTGTTGCTGATTTTTATCCTCGTACTTTCTGCCTTTAGTTCCGTAAAGTAATGCCTGCCTTGTCGCGCGCTTTCCGACTGCGATCACCGTTTTTCTCCAGTATTGCCATAGTGACGGATATCGATGGATTGCACGTGGGTGTGCGTGAACGAGTAATGAACACGAGATTGTGCAATCTCAATCCATTTATCGTGCTTCCACGAAGTTCTGAATTGTCCAACGAATTCACAAGTTAAGAGTCCTCTGCTTTTCAGCTTTTTTCCGGCTCAGCTTGATTCTTATCAATACATTCCGTGCGAAACAGCTCGAACTGTTGGTTGTGAACGAATCTTCAATCTGGACGTTTACTCTCTGTGTTGACGACGACATTCCTTTCACTGCAGCACGGGACTTGAGGCGAGTAGCAAAACAGTCGAAGCGGCTGATATTCAGTAACTCGATTACTCCGCACTGTGCTGCAGTATGTTCCAGTTGGGAACATTTCCTTCCTGTTCCGTGACGGTTTGACCGCCAGGGATACAAGGGAGTAAGTCCTGTTTCCCAGGATTATGATGAAGCAAATCAAACTAGCCAGTCTTATGTACATATAGATCGCCCATGTGCATGTGACCGAAGCTACCGCCTGATATAGTCCTGAAAAGAGCTGTCGAAATCTGGCCTCTTAACAGTGGACATTGAAACTTAAAAAAATTGGAAAGTCCTTATCTGTTTAAAGTTTCTCCTGAATCCATGTGCGAATGGACTTCTCGGTCTGGTCTGAATTCGTGGCACATGTGGCTGTAGAGGTGGCCTTCTGGTATATTCCAGATATTGGAAGCTCGGCATCATGCACTTGAACTCTGAATCTGAAAGCCGGAGCTTCGAGAAACCTTGAAGTAGAATCACGCCAACCTGTGCTCCTGAACCTTTTTAAAAAATCTGAGAACCCAGAGTTCTCCACGAAGCCATGTTCTAAAGGGGTTATAATGATGCACCGACCAATTTGGTTCTCTTTGACTTTGTTCATTCTCCGAAATCTGTAAATCCTGTGCACTGGTAAACAAAATTGGTCATATTAGATGTTTGTTATAAAGATTGGTCTTGTGTCTGGTCTCTCACTCAGAAATTAACTAAATCGAAAAAAATATTCAGTGGATTTAAAAAAGAGAACAAAAAGACGATGATAAATGTGCATCTTACTTCCGGCCTTCATGGCTCACGTTGGCTCGAGTGGCAAAACTGTATCTGGCCGTCACTATCGTCTAGCATGTTCATGTTATCACCATATTATTTTTTAGAAATTATTTCCTCTTGTTTAGGTACTGTACAACTCATTAATCTGTTTGTATTACAACACATGTTCTCGTTGGGTTTTCAGTGACACAGAGCGAACTGCTTATTTATTACTATTCAGTAGAATGAAACTCTAGTATTCCCTAATCGCGTAGCATATTGCAGTCAACAGGTTATGATGTGTATATGCATCTCTACCGTAGGTCAGAGTTGCCTTTACTGAATATCTTGGCACTGCTCCCTCGATATTTAAGCACAAATAGAGAATAAAAGCTCAACACGTATATAGAACAAGATGAGCAGGACATAATATAATCATATTTATTTCTTATATATATACTGCAAGTTCGTAAGATAAATATCACCAGTTAGCTGACATGCCCTGAATACCTCCAGGACAGCCACAATGAACACTCTTCAGAATGTTTCATCAGAGTTTTATCGAGTGTCGGATGCATTCGCTAGCAAAGGGAGTGGAGTTTTCTTGGTGTTCATCCTCTCATTGTCCACTTTGGCCTTCGCATCCATAATTTTGAGAGTCTCTTCGACAGACAGGGTTCATGGCCGACTACCTCCAGGAAGCTTCGGTTTCCCATTCATCGGAGAATCCATTCAGTATTATGCTTCTCAGAAAGACATGGATGCCCTTGGATGGTTCAAGAAGAAACGAGAGAAATATGGACCTCTTTTCAAATCTCGAGTAGATGGTTTCAAAACTATTTTACTCGACTCCCCTGGCGGTTGGAAGTTTATGTACAGCGAATTCGATGAGAATGTGATCAGAGTTCTGTACCCTCCAACTGTTCGTGACCTCACGGGACCTGACAGTCCAATCATTAAGCACGGACGGGTGCACCGAGTGTACAAAAGCTTCTTACTGAACCATTTCTCGGGAGTAGATGTAGTGCATCGCTATATTCCAACCATAGGGAAAGTGGCAGTGGACCACATAAACTCCTTGTGGCTGTCTAGGTCTGATAATTCAGAAGTTAAGGCGCAAGAATTGCTCCAAGAGTTCACCTTCTCAATCATTGGAATACTGATTCTGGGTATTACGGATTCATCTGTATTGGAGGATTTGAGGCCAAAATTCGAGGAATTCGTGAATGGTTTTGTGAGAGTGTCTTTTCGGTTGAATTTGCCGGGGTTTCAGTATCATCGATCTATGAAGGCGAGGTCGCAGATCCATGAGATCCTGCAACGTTCATTGGTCAAAAGGAGAGCCGAACTGGAGGAAGGGAAGGCGACTTCAACTCAAGACTATTTGTCCGTCATGCTCACCCACAGCAACGAGGATGGATACTTCTACCGAGATGCAGAAATTCGTGACATTATGTTGAATCTCCTGTGGGCTGGTTTTGAGTCAACTGCAACCACTATGACAATGATGATGATGCACATCAGCAGGAATCCTCAAGTGTACGATGAGCTCATAAAAGGTAAGCAAGCTTCCAATGTTCGACCTGTGAACTGCACTCATTTGCACGTACAGTGAGTGCTATGTCCATAAGACGTCGTCGGGAGCTGTGCATACCAACACCTTGAATGTATTCAAGCTTTTGACATGCACAGCTCGTTCTAGACCTGACATAAATAACAAAGAACTATTGATAATAATCCCACACTAGGTCGCATGTACTTATACCATATTCAAAAACTCCATATTCTTTTCTACAGCAGACAGCATGTTCTGGTCCATACGGCGATTATGATGTCTACAGTTTTATTTGCATATGAGAGGCTTAGACCGTACGTCTGAATCTGCTAGCATACATGTACACACAAGACTGATTTTCTCATGAACAAAATTGACCAGAACATGCCGGAATTGCTTCGAAGAAGGCCGAAGGCGAGGCGCTCACTTTGCAAGAGTTGCGGTCTATGAAGTACACTTGGGCGGTGATGCAAGAAACCCTACGAGTGTCTCCGTCTTCAGCAGATATCAATCGTGTGGCCATGGTCGATCTCGAGTACAAGGGGTTTACCATACCGAAAGGGTACCGGGTAAGTTTCTAATATCTTTCTCTACGGGACGCTTTTGATTTATGCGCAAGTTCGCCATGCAATCGTGAGGTTCTCTTGAGAAAGTTTTAAACGTAAATTCAGTGTATTATATATATAATCGATGCGTTGGTGCAATCATTTCATAGAGATCTGGTGCTGTATATCTTCGGGAAGGAGGATTCACTTGAAATTTCTAATCGAATCTGTTTCTCCTGTTCATGCAGCTGACAGCTGCTGCTGGGCAATCGCAATGGAACCCAGACCGTTTCCCAGATCCCACAAAATTCGACCCTTCAAGATTTGTAACAAAAACCGGGACTAGAAGTATAGAGCCATACATATTCTTCCCATTCGGAAGCGGCCTACGGCATTGTCCAGGCTATGAATTGGCGAGGATTAATACCATGACCTTGTTCCACCATCTCCTCAGAAATGTAAAGTGGACTATGGTGTATCTTGAAGAAAAGTGCAGGTACCGGTTTCTTTTCTATCCTGAAAAAGGGTTGCCAATCCGTATCACCAAATGCAAAGCGTATTAACTTGGTCGACGACCACTGTTGCAAAATTCTGGAACAGTTTCGTCAGTCTCAAGGTAGTGTGTATACAGCGTTCTTCTAAAGCTTACTAGGTGATAAATTCGCATACACAACCAGTAGGTTTTGAGGTTTAGTCGGAGTTGGAAAAGATGACAGACTTTATCTGTATCCTAGGATCTCTCGTTCGAATCCAATGTTGATGAGACTTTGAAGAAATAAAAGTAACATGAAACTCACTGATACAATTCATATATGCTTGCAAGTGCCTTAGCTCTAATCCGATTAAGGTTGCAGTTACTCTAGTAAGTTCCATATCGATGAGATACTTCACGGTTTGTTTCGCTTGGAAAGTGATTTTTTGCTTTGCAGACACGATTCATGCTCTTAAGAATCAGAAATCATAAGTAAAAGCTTCCTATACTGCACCATACCCAGGCAGTCACTGCAGCCAAGGTTGATTGTCGAGTAAAAAGCACTTCACAATTTAGCGTTTCTCGAAGTTTCAACTATCTATATTGCATTTGGTCATAGAGAAACGGTTTTTCGTCAGCTCCAGTTACTTTGCATGGTCATCATAGTCAGTAGCTGATTTAACCGGTCTCATTATGAAAGGAAACCTGGGACATACTTGCCTCCAAGTACAATCGGTTCACCGACCTCTTACTTCCGGTCACACGAGGGTTCTGCGCGCTTGTTCTATCTTGAAGTGACCGACCCTTCGTCTGAGAATCACAGATGTCTCGTTTTTAGGTGAGAGACGACATACAGATTACTGTATGTCGTCTCTTCAGTTCATACAGTTCATTATGATTTAGTCTCATTTGTTTCACATGTTGTTCCGGTACAGTTACATGCATATTATGAGGATCTGCAGTCAAATAAAAATTTATCATTATGGCGTTTATATGATTTGTACCACTGGTACATATTTAAGCATTTCAGAGTTCGCTGGATCTTGTTCTACATTCAGTACCACCTTTATATTGGGCATAGGTAATCTCAAGGGCATGTTGGGGTCATCTGGGAGAAAGTATAGAGCTTGTAGTCATGCTTATGCTGATCAAAGGGATTGGTGCCATGATCATCTTGTAAAAATAGATGACAGCAGATGCTTCGATCCAATGAAGCAATGTCATGTATAACGAACGTCAAGAAATCAATGCACCATCCTTATTGAGACACCAGAGCTTCACGAATTATAACAAACGTCACTCAAAAGCGAATGTGCACTCAAATGTCAAGCCGTTTGAAAGATATCGTGCAATTTTAGACATGAATCAAACTATCAACACGGACACTTATACACAAGTAGACCTCGTATATGACTTGGCTAATCAACAGAAACCGCATTCCTTTAGTTATACAGTACATTTGTCTCCGGTAAAGTAAATTTCAGCAATGAATAAGAGCTGCAACAGAGTCCATTAAGATAAACCTTTGACAGAAATTGCATTTGTCAAGCTATCGATGGATTGTGCGTAAACAGGATCTCAAACAGAAACAGTTTTCTAACCCTCAGGATCAAACTTTGTTAGCAGCATGAAGATAAGTTTTGCTCTGAAGTCGATAGGTGCTCCAAAAGGCTAGTGGGCCTTTCACAGAAGTTTGCTTCGAAGACAACAAGAGGGTCATCCAGATTGTGGCTTATGCCCTTCTGAGGACTGAACGTAAGAAATTGCACGTTGAACTTGAAGTGAATCAAAAGCTTGTATGCACCTCCACGAGAAAGATACGAGGGAGGATTGCTCTATGCTCTAGCTTGGTGGGGCATCCGGGAGAAGGCAATCGTGCATCACTCCATTGGATGGACCGAAAACTTTCCCCTGATTGAGATAAGATTGATGAGATATTTGAGACAAGTTCGTTGACAGTATCAGGTATGAATCATAATTTGGTTCCAAATCACGTCAGTTAACGACTACTGAAGATATTTTCGAGAGTGCAGTGCTTTTCGGTGCAATGAAAAACAAGGAGATCACAGAAAGGACATACAGGTCTATAGAGCATAATTGAATCCTGTTAGCAGGGCCTCTATTCCGGAATTCTTTGGTTGCTTTTATCATCCAGAATCCAATCATCCCATCGTTCGACATCATTCCCTGGACTGTGTTATCCTCGTTGACGCACGAGTATATATGCTTGTCATCAACCTACATCACACTATGACAGTGTCTTCGTCGTTAAGCTATGTAAGGATTACATTGAGCTAAGACTAGGTCTAGTCGCCTGTTGGTAACGTCAGAGGTTGCGCACTTTCATACCTCTCCTTTTACAGACGAATATATGGGGTCGGTGAGAAGATGAGCTTCCTTGTATGCGAGATTTTGGCCTCGTTCTGGAGACAAGTCAAAAGGGGAAGGAATCAGCCTGAGCTTCTTGTCTCGTAATGCTATGTAAGTGAATCTACAAGGGACACCATATGAAATTATCATGTGCTGTGAAAAGTCTCGATTGCCTGCAAAATGCACCATCTTCAGTTTAGATGTTGCTCTAACGACACTATGTTTGAAGACAATTGTACTTGACATTTTCGAGACAAATCTGCTCTAGTGTTTGAATTGATCGACAGCCAGTAGCACAAAGAAAAGGTCTCAAGGAGTGGTATACGAAACAAGAAGTGCATCACAAGTCTCTCATGACCTACAGCTGGGTCAGTAAATAATGTCTTCAGCAATTGCTAAAATTAAGCCCAAGGAGAAAATTGATGGAAAAATGGTTTCATTTTGTCCTTAACGCTAGTACGATAAGAACGCACTCTCCTTCTTCGTAAATTTCCGCCATTGAGCGAAAAGTGCAGAAAAAACGGGGACGAATGCGTGCGAGGATCGAATTTTCTTACAAATGAATTTTATGCTTGTGGAAGAACCGCAAGGTGGCTGAGTCAGCCTACCGTGGCGGGTTTCAAAATTTTGTCGACTGATGTCTCCACAGAGCAGAGAACTTGGCAACTGTGGTTTTTGGTCAAATTGGAACTTGAACCCTTTGCAGATTAAATTTTGGCTGAAAAGCATTGCCGACAAGGAAATCCTCGAGAAACGATTTGAGTTCAATCGATATATGAGCTGCAAAGTCTAACTTTAAGAGATAAGAGCTCACATCTGTAAGTTGAAGTATCGAAAGAATGAAAGCTCGGTTCCAATTTTGCCCTTTCATCAAGACTTCAAGCAGACATCCATAACTGTAACAGTTCGAGGAGAATAGTCCTGTCTGTTTGATATATGGGGTGGTGTCGTCAATGTCTTTGTAGCCCAAATTCTTTTTACTTCAAAGAGGAGTCACCGTTGGTATAACCGGGATGTGCAATTTGATAACTTCCAAATTGAGGACCTCATTGCATAGGCTTCCATTTCCAATTTCCCTGCCATTCACTTCATCCTGCTCTGGCCATATCCCAATTCTGTGAAGTTGTTCAAAATTAGTGAAGGTGCTGGAAATTCACAGGGCGTGTACACAGTTGTGAGCTGTCTGGTGATGTCATGGGCCATACAATGCTCGTGAGCGCCACACCAGCATTTGTTGCCGAGTCCCACATTGGCATTCTGTTATCTCGTCAATACTCGTGCAACATTGATGCTTTGAGATATTTTATATAATAGGATTTTGATGAAAGATTCTGCTCTATAATCAGATCAGAGATTATTTGCAATTCATATCTATTTCTACGTGGATTGAAATTTTAATGTAATAGGATAAACCCTCGAGCAATGATACATTCTTGTAATCAGATGTATAATGTGATACCCTAACATGTGAGATCAAATTATACTACTTTTGTTTAGAATTGGTTAAATCTAGGTGGGCAATTCCATCAGTTTCCATCACACCTCATCGATATTTTTCTTCGTGAGATGAATGGCGGGTACTGTCTCGTGTATCTTTCACTTTATTTTGTACGAATGGGAAGAATTGAAGATCTTGAAAGTAGGGATTTCGTTAGAACGTAGAAGATCCAGTTTAATCTCCCATGATTTTGTCAGAAAGAAACCACACCGTCACCTGTTGGTTTATCACTAGGTTATCTCGACGCCCTCGACAGAATTTTGAACAATCCATGCAATGTCATGGCTATCAACCTCGACCACGGCCTATGGGTGCCACGAAGTTCCACATTCTGTCCACCGTCGCGCGAGTCTTTTCCACATCGCATGTGCTTGTGTGTAGGGCTAATTCGTAGGAGTAACTCGACATGCTGTCAAGAGATTCAAACTCCGTTTCCAGTCGCTAACGCTTGCAGTAGCTGCGAGCCTGAGACCGAGAATTTCAATTTCAGTACACCAATGGAAAATTGGGGTTTTAGAACATTGCATCACTATGCCAAGAACCCGCTTTCTCCCCGATGTAATTATCCAGTTCGTAAGAATGAGTTATATTTAGAGACATTTATCGATCATGTCGCACATTAATAAGTAGATTAGACATTAGTTTGGAGGAACAAACCGAAATTATGGATACAATTGAGCCTGGAATCAGAAAGATATCAGAGTGGAGAAAATGCATTCGCTTATTCATGTTGAATCGATTCAATTTACGGGATGATAAGCAAAGCTGAGGAGCAGGTGTGTCTCTTAGCTGGCCCAGCGTCTCACACTTTCTTTTTTAGGTAAGCAAGCTTCGTCCAATCTTGCAGAAATGTCTTCAACAGCTTTATAGCGCACGCGTTTGGCAGGGCAGGGGAGTTCGAGATCTGTGCCAAGTTGTTCGCCTTTGTAGTCTCCTGGTCGATGCGATGAGCCGTCGTTGGAAGTGGACGCCATTCTTTAGACTGTTACCTTCTTAGAAATTGCAGCTTTCGAGTTTCGAGAAAATTGTTGGGATGACTTTTTCAAAGGGGAACTTCCCACGACGTTTATCAAGGTCCACAAGGTCGTTTTTCTGTGTTCTGAATTTATGCTTCATCTGTTCATATGGTGTCCTGCAACTTACAGTATGTGATTTCTTTTCCTCGTCCACTTCAGCTGCTCCTTCTGGGTCGACCGCTGCATCGGATTGTCTTCTGATGCCGCAAGTCAGTAGCCCGGAATATGTCTGTCAAACAAAGCCGACTCTCCAGATTGTGAACCTGAGTGAGTGATGCTACTGTCCCCGAGCTTTTGGCTGATGGAGTTGTTTCATCTGCCTGTAGATTCGATTGCAATATTCATTCCCGATTATAATCCCACATAGAAAATACATCAATGAGGGTTACGCTTCGCTTCAAACATCATGACTGTCACCACTGAACGTCAAGATCATCCTCTTCCTACTTTAAGAAGCAGAGGTCGTAATTCATCCTTATCTCAATATTTGCAGTTCCCTGTCTATCCCTGCAGTCTTCCACCTTCCCTTACAAACTGACTCTCGGAGTGTCTTGCTGACCTCTCTGTTACAATTCTGTTCTTACGCATAGATCAAACAGGGGTCCACAATCCACATCTAAGTCTGGTCTTTCACTCATGAAGAACGCGATTGGCTTGGATGGTGGTTTGATTCGTAGGGACCCGGCTCTGGGAAGTTCGGTCGGAAGGTCTTGAACTGGTATGAAGCGTCCTCGACACCGACCGGCTCTGCCTTGATGAGGACGTTTTGTACAACATTTTGCTTCCTGTCTTCTTTCTGGAGCAACTCTCTATGCTGTTTGGATTTGACGGATGGACAGATTGATTCATCCTTTGTCAAAATCTGCTTGTGGACAAGAGTAGACCCAACCTCAACACGTTCGTCTGTACCGTACGTCATTTGGCAGATCAGGTTACATTAAGGATTTCATGGACGCCTCTGGGTTTTCAAGCTCAACCTACTTGGATGTGAACGGATGATTGTGTGTCTTGAGGGAGACTGTCAGTGGCAGAGGGTCTACTTATCTAACTGCTCATAAGAACTGAGTGTATCCTGTGTGGGAACTCAATACTAATCAGCAAGCCATGATATATTATGCATTGTCTACTCTGCTGACGCTAAATCCTCCTGCTCTGATTCAGGAGAAGTGTGAAGCACCTGTAAGTGGATGCTCGCACTGCAACCGCAATGCTGATTGATCAGATGAACGCCGTGCGAGCGGTCGTTTTCCAAGTCATTTGGCTTCATGTTGCTAGTACGATACTCCGCCCGACCATTCGCGTTCAAGTTGGAAGGTCCTTCAAAAAGTTTTAAATGTGGGGATTATATGATCGAAAGCTCATCCAAGTCCATGGGATTCTGGCTGTTGGTATTATAATACTTTTGGATCGGGGAAATTGTAGATCCTTCTTGGGTCACAGAGTAGGAAACTGTTCTGTGGCACGATTCTGGATTTGAATGACTAGCAACTTCTTTTAATAACTAGAACTTGAATATGCGTAGTTCGCAGTCAATTCATTCTTCCAAGCACAAGGCCTTCATCACATCGCAAACCAACAGGAACCAGCTGCAATAGTGTAGTTATTGCGTGTGGTGGAGAAGAATTCTGCTGACTTCCTATGAATCTGTGTGCAGTAGGTGTGCAGGCAAGAAGCCCTTCTATAGGGCCTACATGTGATCACCTTGAGGTCTCATCATGTAAAATACATCACAGTGTGGACAAAAACAACCAACCAGATCTCAGATATTACTACGTAAGCAGTTTTTGCGAATCCTTAAGTCATTAACATCCGGGAAAACTCTCGCAGTGAACTTTCTGGACCAACTGCATTCTCGATAGCTCTTAATTCCTCGAGATGAGTCTAGGCCTGCAGGCTTCTTATCACTTGCCACTTCACCGTACGATGTACCATTGATTGACTCTCTTTGTACTCCCCGGATTGTGTTGTTGCTTGACTGTAAGTGGATTCGGCGCCAGGAATCGGTTAGATAATGAAAAGTGTCAAACTTAAGCAAGGTTATTGATGAAAGTCTGTGGTAAAACTCTTTTTCCCCAAATTTCTCGAACATTTCGTCGAACAATTTTTGTTATTTTTTGAGATTTCATATATTCTGCAGGAAGAATGCTTCGACAAGGTATGCACGGAGATCAACCCTGCGAAGCCGCCGCCACCTCCTCCTGCTGATTTTTGGCTCAGCCGACCTCGAGAGCTACAAACTGAGGAGGCAAAGCTTGGTCCACACAGCCGCCCAACTTCAGCGTTTGACTTTCAAAATCGCACGTTTGCTGCATTTGCACCTTCAGTAGGTCAGGCGAAGACCGTCATAACAGCAGGACGGGACGCATATGTAAGCGATTACATGGAGAGGTACTCAGATCCAGAATGGATCGGTGTGGATAGCGAGGGACGCTTTATTCGAGCAGAGAGTCCTCAACAATATTGGTTTTGTTCAGGTACATGTTTCAAATCATGTCCGAAAAATCTGTCTGCTCATTAACTTTACAACAGATCTCTACAACGAGCAATAACCTGGACGTAACGAAAGCATCACAATCATCTTGGTGATGAAGCAAGAATTGACCAACCACGACGTGCTTAATCATGAAGTTGTGGAACAAGAGTGCTACAAGATGGAAAGAATAACCAGTCTCATGTCACCTCTGAGAAGGAGATTTCACACCCAACGCTCTTGCTCTCATCTCGTGATCAAAAATAATTACCTGCAGGTGGTTCAAAGGGGACACCCGGGACGCCGGATGTAAGCACTGTAAATTCTGAAAATGAAACATATGCAGGAGTAGAGTACAACGCAAGAGTTAGCACAAATACATCCCGTCCACTGGGGTTGACAGAAGACATGAGAGCCCATTGCGAGTTTCTGAGGTTTAAGGTAGTTCCATCACATCGTTTTATCATCGAAGAGCTACACTTTTAATTTGTGACGAAAATAGATGCAAACAAAATCTCGTAACTTACAAATCTTCGCTGAATGCTGTCCACAGTTATCAGCGCAATTGAGTCCCACAGACATGTGTCAGGAATGTTACAGATGTACCTTTAAGTTAATATTCTTGAAGAAACCGTCTTTTACCCGGCTGCATTATGCTAACCAGCTGAATAGGCATGGGAGTCGGTCATCCACCAATATGGGTTGACAGCCAAGCATTTTCACAGAGTATGAATTTTTGCACCACATGGGCCCTAATCAAATCAAACAGAACACAAAGCACACGCAATTTGTTTATCCATACCGAAAAGTTTATTCGATCTTTCAGAAAATGTCCTCGGATAGAAAATTAAGTGCGATGTTATGAGATGCCTTCCATTTTCGTTAGGCTATGGAGGTGCTAATTGTACGTGTTGAAGACCTTATCCAGTCGTTCTTCCACACAGTATTACTACTGATATTGATTTCGTCTAACATCGTGATTAGAGCTCTCGTCGCTCAGCTCAATTTCTTCTATTTCATGTCTTTGAAAAGGAGTTTCTTTGAAGTATAGTCGAGAAATTTAAAACCGTCCATCTATGCTTGCAGAGCTTCCTGCTTTTGACCAGTTGTGACAGGATGACTGTGGATTGTCGGTACGACTGTTTGCCCACCTACAGAGCCTTGGTAAGCAGCATGTATTTCACGAGCCATTCTCACTTCGTTTTCCATCCTGTTTTCTTCGGATCTGATCGAAACAGACAATCGAAACTGTCTATAATTGTGATGCATTGGCTGTTAGCAACAGCAGGAATCATCAGTTCTGAGGAGTTTTGTGTGCCTGAAGAACTTAAAAATTCCAACTGCACTAAACATGCTACCAAATGTGAGTTGCCTGCAGATGTGCGCATTGTTCTTCCCACAATGTGAACCTTATCATGGACCCTACTCTGAGCCGGGAACGCGAGATATACAAACGAACACCTCGGGAGGTGTTATATACGGTCCTGCAAACATTACGGATGACATTGGCGCAAAGTTCATCATTATAAAACCATGTCGCGCTTTGTGCTATGAAGTAGAACGACGGTGCACAGCTGAAACTCAGTGGCAGGTACGGCACCGTTCTGCAAAATTTAGTGAAACATTCACCGCAATTCCTTACGTTCATGAACTTTGTAATCTTACAGTCCGTAATGCCAGTGGCATGCGCCTTGCAAAACAGTGCAATGTTTTCACTTCGGGATGCATTATCGCCATGCGTTATTCTGGCAATTTAACACAGAGAATGGTTTCCTTGATCGTTGCTAGATGCGCATCTTAAATATATAATCGGAATTTTAGAAACTGCACATTCTGACTTTTGGGGGTTTTCTGTATATAATTTAGAGTTCATCCTGCAGGTAGCCATAGATGTAAATTTCAACTCCACTTTTCCTGCACTTGAAACAGAAGTTGCAAATCTTTGGTGCAGCATATGGTTATGAAACATCTGTTGAGCAGCCTAGCTTCAGGCATACTTTGCAGCAACCTTACAGTTTCGTTGTTATTACAGTGTGATCTGAAGGAGGGCCGCGATTGGTCAAATGCTCCATACTGTAATTCTGTTAATCAAAGAGACGGTAAATCGATGAATCCATGAGGGAAATAAAACCACTTGTCGAGGTCGAATATCTACATTTGAGAGTCAACTAAATAATATGTTCTCTTGCTTTACCTCTTTCAGATTCTTCAGTATTATAATAAAAAAGTTGGAATTCCATTTTTCTAATTCTGTAAAATTTTAATTACCACGAGCTTTGGTCATAGCAAATATAAAAGCAAATGATTGATGTGGAATTCATGTCGTTTTATATGTCCATTTGAACCCTTATTAATAATGGTCATGCCTTCGAAAGCTGACCGTGTTTCTCCTCTCCGAATGCTGCATATAGCATGCCTTCAAAAGCAATAGGACCCAGCAGATTAGAAATGTACAGCAAATCACACCAAGCGTTAGAAATAAGAAACACTAAAGGGATAAAAATCAAATCGTGCCACAGTAATATTTAGAAACTCAGTTAGAACATCTTCAATATATCAAAGTTCAAATTGTCTACAAAAAACAGTTTTTTAGCCAAGTTTTATTTAATTTTTCATATATAACATTATTTCTTATTATGAAGAGCAATATCTACGATTCGACTAAAATTGATAATATGTTCAAAAATTGCTAGCTTAAGTGATATTATGCATAAGTTTGAAATCTCTACTCACTCTCACAACCATCTTAAAATACAGTTAATGTCACATGACATAACAGTAAACTTTATACATGCATTTGTACTTGGAGACTAAGGAGATCTAGTCTCCAAGTAAACTAAGGATACTTTAGTTATTGCTACTTCGTTCGTTTCCAGTCAGGAAGTACACAATCATTATCAATACAAATCGAAATAATTAATAATTCAGATAGATTTAGATATTGTTATTATTAATAAGGTTTTATTATTATGACTTTCAACTACAAACTTCAGGTCTTTCGGTTTAAAATCAAAAGTTCCTGGCAATGGAAGTTACTACTAAATCATAAAATAATACGGGACAGATAAGTACAGGTTCCACATTACCAGAAGAGTTTATAACGCTGAAATACATGGACCCTTAAATCGATGAACTTCCAATTTTTGAACTCCTAAACCATTTTGTGCCGCTAATGGTCGAACAGTCCAACACTTGGTGGAGAATAGCCGACCTGGGTCCACGTTAACTCTTAGGGATGATCAGCTTGTTACCCCTCGAATATAACTTAATCCAGTGAAATAAAACTATCTCTAATGGTAATGCACTTTTTGTCACTGACAGGCATATTTTGAAATTGTTCCACGTATACAAGACAAATAAATTGCCTAAAATTGTGACATGTGCAAAAGTAGCATGTTACGTAGCAACCCAACTCTCACTTTCTTTACCCACTGGGTAGATCCACGAGCCTTTTATCGCCTAGATCTACGGCCCCACTCATGGTTATAATATAAAATTATTTCAGCATATTCAATTTTAATATTACTCTATATTTTAATTTTTCTCATATTTCACATATTTTTAATCTTATCAAAAGATAGCTCCAAGAGTTATAAGAAATAAAATACAATTAAGAAAATATAAAACACATCAGAAACATGCGCAAACTATCTTGTCATTTGTAACTTCACTTTAGTAAATCTTTGCTCTTTCACACTATAATACAGGTTGTTAGATTAGCTTTGCTTTCATCAGAAATCATTACTTTATCGCAAGCGCCTTTCAAAGACATGTCAAAGCAACCTTTTATATTGTTTCTAACTTCTATGTATGAGGATCATAAAACTAAATTTTATGATATGTAATGCTAATTATCTTCAATCTAACCATCATACCAAACCTTATTATGTGAAACTTGTACCTTTGTTCATAAATACGTTCGAGCTAGATTATGCATCTTAATATCAATTTGAAAATCAATTTTATTGCTTGATGGACTTTGGCCGGATCTACTCTACATGTATGTATAATCCATGACAAGACTTCACTCATAACTTTTTGTTTAAAAAACTCTTCAAATCTTAGCATTTGCGGTCAGCATTATATACGAGCAATTGCATATCGATAGCGATCGAAGAGTCCTGGCAAAGGCATATCCACTAGACGGGATTCTGAAATATTATCAACTCTTGAAATGATCGAGTCTGAACATTTTCAGTACGTTACAGTGGCGGATATTGCTAGGCACGTGTTTGACTAGGCAGGCGGGTTGCACGCCATTGTCAGAACTCTTGAACGGTCTTCACCGTGTTTCTCCGCAAGCGCGAGCAACGAATGGCGAGTTATATCATGAACCGTGAGAATATGCACTCCTCCTGCCTTCAACTGCCAACACTGTCAAAGACACGAGGTCTTTCTCCAACAGAATTTCTGCAGCAGAATCGAGGGTCTGGTAACTTCTTACCTTGTTCGCACCATGCTTCAGAGGGTCTATTTCGACTGCAACTTGTATGAAATGACCATTTCATTCAGTTGCTACATACGATACAAGTTTGTGTGTTCTAGTAGGTGTGAGATGAGTGTACGATAAGGCGCAACCGGTTTTGCTGAGAAAGATGAGTCTGATCTTTGATCTTTGCTGATTGTCTTTCTAAGTGGTTAATCACGTGGCAGCCCACGTTGCCAAATTATGTTCCAGATGGTACAGTTTTCCAACAAGAAGTGGCTGTAGGGTTCATAAACAAGAAGTGTATGGCGTCTTTATTCTCTTTCATTAAAACGTGTATTGTCTTGTCACCCTGTACAATGTCGACACTGTGAAATGAAATTTTCATTCGAATCATATGCTGCAGGTAGAGATGTTCAAGTTCTATCGGAGAAGAAATAACTTAGTATCTAACCAAAAGAATTGACACGACAGAATATTCAACTTCCATAATAGGAGAAAGAACATAGCAGCTAAGGAGTTGGATCTGCAGGAACAAGTGATCAACTGTGGTGGTAGAAGAGAAGACATGGATGATGAACAAAACAGCTACTGTTCCGAGACAGAATCCGTGAAATTTACGGCACATTCACCGCCTTCGTCGGCTCGTGAGGACTCAGGATGGAACGAGGAGCTCGGTGGTTCAAGCGTCCAAGTCTTCGCAACTGAACGTACGAACAATCAAACAACTTACATCATGAAAGCAGCGACTGAAGAGGAGAGCACAGGAACTGGTAAGCACGGTTCTGAAAAGCTTCTTCTGCATTAGCTAGTGCCACATTGACATTAACTTACTCGTATGAGGGACAATCCAACATATGTCATGATCAACATAAGTTATGAGTTCAAATTATATGATATTTTGCAACTTAAATGTGTTAAAAATATGCAGGGATATATATCTGCATGTGGCCGAGTTCAACTTATATGATTATTGCAACTTAATTGTGTTAAACATATGCAGAGATAAAAATCTCTATGCGTCCGTAAGGTAATATTGGATTTCATCGTTGGTATTCTATGTATTTGTTTGTGTCAGTGAGCAGCCTTGATAGCAGCTCGAAGAAGAAGGGAACCAGTTCAGTTACTCAGAAACGAAAGCTTTTATGGCCGAGGAAATCGGATAGAGACCAGCAGGTACCATTCCACGTGCCTTCAATTCATGGTATTTGAATTTTAATGATATCAGGGTCTGATATTTTATAATCTTTATGTTTTATTTATTTTATATTTATTTCTTAATTTTTATAAGTAAGTTCAACCACTAATGTTATTAATTTTCATTTTTGTTGGAGTAAAGGTCAAATATAATTCATGAATTTAAATATACTAGAGGGTCGTAATTAATCTATGTCTTAGGCGGACTCACGAATGGACCGTCTTAAATGGGGTCATTAACAGTGAGTAAAGTAAAACTCTATTTCACGATGACATGAATTTTTTTACACACTCAACGTTAGTCTTTATCGCATGTATCTTTTAAGAAAATCTGATTATTATTATCAAGTCTTCATATAATGCGGATTGAAACCTAGAAAATTCAATACAATTTTATATATATATATATATAATCACACGGATATTAAATTGGGTAACCTTACTACAAACTCTTATAAGCATCGACGCAGGATCCAGTCAATGTTGCAAGAGGTAATCGTTGGGAGAAAGCGTACTTTTCTGATGCCTACCGCCAGAGAAAGTTTCTAAAGCTCATGGTAAGAATTACTTCTCTTAACCTGCATGAAGTTCGTTGCAAAAAATCACAACATATTTAATGAGATCACTTGATTAGGCTCACAATATACACATATGGGTATTATTTTCGGTTGGATAAATGAAGTGAAAGGCGAAATATATCTCTGCGCAATTTGCTTTTAAGTTGGTTACAGGAATAATCTCCAGCTACTTATGTATGCACTCATATTTCATAAATGTCAGGGCGTGAGACAATTCCCCGCAGCTAGATGCAATGAGCAAGACATTGACTCAGATGTGCTATCGGACAAAGCGCAACGCACGTTATATCAGGATCTTGAGAACCAGTTCGCTATTAGCTTGAAGCGGGGAAGTGGTCAAACTACTGGACTAGGGCTGTAAATTATACTCAGAGATCGCTCTTTCGAAAATTCATGGTCTGTTGTCAGAATCTCTTGAACTAAAGCTCCAAAACAGATGCGATCTTTTTAAACGGTAGAATAGTTCATGTGAATATTCACTTGTGCAGATGAAGGTTGTGAAAGTTCACACAGGTGAAATCATCAGCAATGAAAGGTCTTGCCAATGTTGGCCACAGGTTTTGTCAGTAGGGGTAAAACGGAATTGATCTGAAGCTTTACTTGGTATTATTATCAGAACTGGTCTTCGAGGGTATTTTGATTGTCCAATATAATCATTTTGTTACGAGGTATACGACTATAATCTTATAACCATCTAAGATCATGATAATTGCATATTTTCCAATTGCAGTTTACGATTGAAGCAAAAGGCTTCTTCATGTTGGAAATCTCAAATGGGTACTTGTCATCTTGGCATTGCTCTTTCTTGATAACTAGGAAGATAAGAGTACGTAAGATTGACAACTTGTTTTGTAAATTCCATGATCCGTAGCGAGAAAGACTTCCAAAGGTAAACTTTATAAAGAAAATCTTAGAGTAAAATTTGAGGAATATATTTGAAATCAGGGGTTGACTATTTCTGATGATTATTAGCACGTGCCCAGCACATGCTACAGGAAAATATTGTAAATAACTGATTAGACGGATGAAAGGGATCAGGGGATCAGTAGCTGGGGCTCTAATTTCTTTTCTTGAAATGTTTTTCTTTTCTTCAGGCACGGTTCAATGACCTCCAGCTAGAATTGTCCATTTCTGTTGGAAAATATGGTTTACCTTTTTTTTAAGTTGTTTTTTTTTTTAACCTCCTGACTTATGGAGTTTTTTTCCCTATGTATCTATTCAAAGTCCTCGCATAATATCATCAGCTGCAATAGAAGAACGCATCAACAGAAATAAGAACACGTCTTGTGGGTGAGATTTTTTCCACTCAATTTCAGGTTTGAAGGTGAATGAAGCACAAGCTTGCGCTTTTGGTACTAGAACATCTGTTGTCATTAGAAAATTCTCATCCACTTAGTCCTTCCTGATCACAAATAAGTCAAAGGATGTAGGAAAATCAGGTTCCAGCTTCTAGCTGTAAGCAAGGAGAAAGTCTGAGGTAGCTGTAATAACAAGTATTCAAACTTTCTTTCAAAAAGCATTCCAGATCCAGTGGACACTTTCTAAATGCAATAAACTGCGATATGCATGATGCCCAAGCAATGTACTCTCTTTGATTGAATCTGCAGTCTTCCTACTCCTCTCTTACGTCTCAAGTTTGAATCCCTGAAGTCGAGATCGTGCTTGAGTTTGATTTGGGATTACGCACTCACTTTCGTCGGGAACATCTGCCTCGTTTCTGTCACCTAACCTCTCTTAGTGAACACCCCATGGATTCACGGATTAAGAAGAAGGGAAACGTCAATTAAATAGTGCTACTTATCGCAACTGCTCGCCCAACGCACAAACACTCATGATAATAATAATAATAATAACAACAATAGAGTCTTTGACCGTCTTACCTTAAAGCGACATTCTAATTTATTTTGCAAAGCCGAAAAATACTCTTCCACAAATATATATTTTTTAACCTTCTTCCTTGATGAAATGTTTACTGTGAATCCTCATACGGTAGTGGATGCTTACTGAATGTTCCAAAAAATATGACTCAAATTCAAGGGAGTTTTGGAATTGAGATAGATAATGATAGATCTCAAAAGTTGACTGTGAGTGGATAAGAACCTGACTGTAGGGTGTCTTTGTAGATGTGCGACCAGCTGCAACCAACAATGAAGTTCTACTGTTGTAACTCTTCTTTTGTGAAAATACCCAAAACCGGTTAGAAAGTTTAAATTGCAACCTGTGCACAAAAAGTTTAGATATTGTCCTAACAATTTTTTTAGAGTGAGAGATAGTGAATATAACGGGTTCACATATTTGAAGGATAAATACAATCGAGATGGTGATGGTGAGTATTAGATAAATTTTCAGAGGGAACCAATTGTAAGTATGGTAAGAGAGGTGGCGAAAATAAATGTAGTTGCAGAGGTGGCACAATCAAGAGATTCTAATATGGTCCTAACAGAGGTTAAGTGACAGGTCAAGGATCTTAAACTTATTTCTTGATGTCACAGTCCGACAGTAGTCATAGGTGACTTGTAACAAACATAAACACGTGTCTGTGCAATATAATATGAATAAATGAATTCTGTACTCGTGCGGGTTGAATCTTACAAAAATGCAACATAGTTCGCTGCAAGATGATCAGAGACAAAATATAAGGTTTTTTATTTCATCAACTCAAAGTTGAGAGAAAGGAGGTATTTGATTGTTTGAAAAAAGCTAGAGATACAAACAAGGAAAAAACAATATAATATCTTACAACTTAGACTTGATTTTGAACTGAAATGTGCACGTGAACATGTTAATCTAATTGGCATCTGTTAAGTAAAGAATCATGTAAGACACTGATCCCTTTGTTATACTTTTGGACATACTGATTGGAATACGAGAGTGATTGACATCTCGCTTTGATTTCCTTCAGACCTTTTCGGATTAGCTAATCATTTCCGCATTTATTGCTTACCGCTACTCTGCATTCCAAGACGATTATAAAGATGCTATTTGATTTTAGTTTAATAAGTTGAGGCACGATTCCATGGATATGGTTGTAATTTCTTTTACCTCCATGATGTTCAATCATACTAGATGTAGTAAAACTTAACACATAAAGGTGATAGATAAACTGTAGAGATTTGTCTCATGAGATTTATTCTGGTCACATCTGTTGTGACCCAAATTGACTTCAATCGATTTTCAATCACATGTTACTTATTGAAAAATATCATCCGTTTCGAATCTTGAGAGAAACTCATGAGAATAGAAAGATTGCACATGTTCTTCATACTTCCATTTTAACTAAAGCCTTGTTGCAAGAGAGACGACAACACAATCATGGCTTGTACATCCATGATTATGTGCAGAAGTTTTTCTTTAAATTATGCTAATTTCCATCTAACACAGTGTTACGATCGTTGTCTGAAGATGCCGATCAAGGCAGCCTTCTTGTAGTATCAGATAATCTTCAGCAGTAACTCAGTGTTGTGAAATATGGACGCCTGTCGATCTACATTGTGAGGTTGAACGTCTAGAACATCTTCAAAAATTTTAAACCATAAGAAGAACAGAACACATGATACAGAAAGCCTGACATAGATGTTGAATGAAATCGTCAAAACTATCTTTGCGCTTGGGGCAATGACGCAGTTAGTGAGGTGAAACCGAGACGCGTCAATTGCTGGTTGAAAACTATTTCCAAACCCCCGCCCGTGCCCTAACCGGCGCGTGCGAATTTCTGGAAGGTCTGAATCATCTCAGACCTCACAAAGAAATTAACCAAGATTCCACATATGACAGGCGGAACTAATGTTACAATTAAGTCAGCTGGATTCCACAAGCACACTTATCTGTATTGAAACCGTGCCCTCATCTGGATTCGATACCTGCGACAAAACAAGAGTCCCAGCACTTGATAGACACTCAGCGTCAAAAAGGTATAGCTCTTTCCGGTGTTTTAATCCGTCAATTGATGCTGGAGATTCGAAGGTTGAACTTCCAAGTGCGTTCGTTATTGACGCGGCAGTTCGATGTTCATATCTTACAAGCTGGAAACTAAATTGCACGTCCGCAAGAGTTCGACGCTACGATTTTGCTCACCTTCCTGTGGTGACCAAGACATTCACTCATTCAAGAAACACTGGGACAATACAAAGAATCTTGGAGTTGCTAGAGTATGTTTGCTGTTGTTGAGCTATAGCACTTAGAAGAGTGCAGATCGCTATCGATATAGTTGGCATCTTCATTCGACCTCCCGCAGTCGAAGGATGTGCCCAATGTTCGATTCGTTCCGCTCCATAGCCTCGGGAGTGAAGGGAGAAGTCCCCAGAGGTTTGGGCGAGGAAATTAAGGGTTTAGGGTTTTAGGGTCTCAGCTATGAGTCTCATACTCTTCATGGATTCAATGGAAGTTGTGGACGCCACTACATCAAATAAAACGTGAGATTTTACGATTTCGATTATGACCTTTGCGTTCTGCCAATTTTAGCTGACCTTGATGGAATTATATACGGCCCAAAGACTCGGCTGGATTTCACTGAAGATTGGATATATGAATACCTCACATTAAAAAGGTGTATTCAATGGAAATCACATGTTCTAACTCCCAAGTTTTTACTTCCTGTACACGTCCAAGGTATCTCGAATTTGTTAATTATTCCAATGTTAATGAAGACACAAAAGTATGAAAAACCAAATAACAAAGAAATAAATATATGGAACAACCACATCAAAACATGAATAACGAAATGAGTAACCAAGGCTAGTGAAGCATACATAAACACCACAGCTTATTATTTAGGTGTTTTATTTGGAAATACATCATTCTCAATGATATCATGAGTGATTCAATTTAGATTAAAGTTAATTTGTCGTTGAAGTATGTGAGAATATGTTGCATCTAAAGTAATATTATAGGGAAGATTGAAGACATATGAATCTACCAAATTAGAATGAAATTCCATAGTTTTAACAAAGCAATGGATGCATAATAAAACTCTGACACATAAAATAGTCAAATTTCAAAATCCAAATTGGGGTTTGACTTTGGACAAAGTTTTTAAAACTTTGTATGATTTGATCAAACAAACAACACATAGTTTGAGACGACAAAAATGTTCGTTATGAAAAATGTACATTTAGCCATAACAAATGAAACTGCTCTTGAAGATATTTTTGGACTATAACATCACAATATTAAAAAAGAAGTTCATCTTATAAAACGCTGTGTTGATAAAAGACTAAAAAAAAAGCTGTGAAAAGATGAATTTACAAAGATCCATTAGATTCTCAAAGCCTACCCAAGATGCATAGTACGTGAATTTTTTTAATTTTTTTGTGATTTTAGGATCGTGCACTTGCAAGGTAATTCATAAGGATTTACACCTAGAAAATTTTCACTTATAAAATTTTTATCTCACAACCTTGTGATAGAAGAAATTTAAATTGATATACTAAAAGATACTGCTAGAAGAGTATAAGATGTTACATGGACATTATACGAAGAAAATGTTTAAATAGTAATAGAAACTAGTAAAATAATTTTTACCAAGAATTTATGAATTTTCTAACTGATATCCAAAAATCTTTAATGATATGCGTATCTTATATAAAGATGTAAATGATCAAATGATTTCAGTTTTGTATTACAGGTTTTCCATCTGAAGAAAAGTCACGGGATCGGAACTTCTCTTGTTCAGTGCAATGTCCAGAATCTCTACAGAGGGAGAGAAAGAGAGGCGCTGAAGAGAACTGAACGTTTAAGAGTCGGCAGTCTTCTCGATCGGAGCATTCGGCCTTCAAGGTTGAATCAGCAATCAATTTCCCAGGAGAAGAAGTTGGACAACATTCCCTTCCACGAGAATGACATTTTCCCGTGATTGTGAAAAAACCTTTTGGCTCAGCGCGTTTATTCTTCGAAGGCAGCACAATCATAAGGCGGAATTGGCGAAGGGATGATCCACTTCTAGCTTTTGTGCAGAGAAGGAGGGCCAAAGGAAATAGCAAACCTCCATCCTTGAGCCATCTCGGCAATCAGTTGGGCATACAAAATGAGTGTGTTGAACTACTTGTCAAGTATTGGCGACGGCATCGACCACAGAGATGGGACCGACAGAGATAGTTATATTCAAATAAAGGCACGTTTTGAAAACAAGCTGTCCGAATGCCTCTGTGCTACGAAGATGCGAATGAAAGAATGCGCCTACCAGTGAGGTTCGGATCCTCGAGGTGCTGCTGAAGTCACGAGCTAAAAAGTAAACTTCGAGCAGCTGTGACATATACAACAGAAGTCAGTAGCACCAGCACCTCCGAGTGGAGCATGCATGGATGAGTCGGCATCGAGCGGCGCATTGTAACCCAATCCACCGCAATTGCAAAAGAGTTCGGTCGTCTACTACACCAGTTGAGAACACGGTCGATCCTCCGATTCTTACTTAATATAATGGCAATTGTGGCCACCAAGCTGGAAAGTGGCTGGCCCCATTTTTCAGGTTCTAAGCAGCGCATCACCGATGTCCACAACGATGGCACGGTGGAGCTCGTCAGACACCTTGTGTCCACTCTGTGCATGCAATCTATTGCTCGGGAAAGGAATGCAATCAATCACAATAAACTCATAGTCCAGTTCGCTTTTCTCAGATCTACTAGATAATGGACTTGTTCTTGTTTGCTTTGATGTGCTCTTTTTGATTTTGGACTCAACCTGTTCCCGCACTTTGGAAAGAGAGTCTCGTCCGGCATTCATTAAATCATCATTTTTGGAAAAGCCTCTTGCTTTTGTTGCAAATTTTCCTAGACGAACATCTGCTACCAGACCAGCTGAAAACCGATGCACTCTCGAGCGAGGGCCATGCCCTTCGAGCCCACAACTGGTATGAGTCTCATGCTTCTGCATAAGCATTCAGCGAATGCAAACTGGTAGGAAGGAGAAACTGCCCTTGCGGCAAGAAAGAGCACAAAGGCGTGGTCACGTGAACGGAGTCAAGTCGAGGCGGTCGCGGTCTCGTCACGAGATGAAGGCTAACGCACAAAATCGGGCGAAGGCAGACCTGCGTGCGGTGCAGGCGATCTACCTCTCCAGCTGTCAAGCATGTGAGTTCCCACGCAGTGCGGACGACCAACTGCGCAGTTTGCACAGCGCGGTCGCGCACATTGCAGCACGAAACTTACTCCTTCCAATTTTGGTTTTTTTGCGAGACGATTTAGAAGTACGGCCCGTGACAGAGCGCTCTCCCGTTGGTAACTTAGCGGCCGAACGTTGCGGTTGCAGGCCACGCGTCAGCAGCCGGCTAGTCGAGAGACTTCCAAAGGAAAAATAGCGGCGTCGGCCGTCGAGCCGCGGTGGTGCGGTGAAACCACGGTTGATGGAAAAACCACGTAGGACGGTCAATCGCGGTAGGTGATGTAATCATCTTAATAGGATATATTGTGGTCAAATCAACCACATTAGGATGACGAATTGTGGTCGGAGGTAACCGCAGTAGGGTTGACGCACCATGATAGACAGGTCAACCACTTTAGGCTGGTAAGCATGGTGGCAGGGCAATGCAGTCAACAGCCGCTCGACAGTAACCGTGATTGTGGCGGCGGAGACCTACAGTAACGGTTGGGAACAACGGTGAAGTCATATTCCGTCAGAAATATTTTTTCAAAAATTTTTTTTCATCAAAATATAGTCAAATTGTATATCGCTGGAGAGTCCTTGACACAACTGAAGCGTCTGGACCAATTTTAGGAGTTGAAAGATGACCCAGACGGAGAAAATTGCCATGAAAGTTAATTTTCAATCTAAATTCTTGACGATGATGATGAGATGATAACGCAACAGGTCGAGAATCTGGTTTGAAAGTGTACAACGGTCTCGAGCAACGTTTGTTGCAGGCGACAGTAAGTTGTAGACAATGGTCGCGGATGATGTAAGTTACAAACAACGGTCAATGGCAACGTTTGTTGCACGTGACGTAAGTTGCGGGCGACGCTGGTCACGAGCAACGGAAGTCGCGATAGATGAATATTGCAGTCGCGGGCGACATAGAGCAACAGAGGTCGCGAGAAACAATATTTCAGTTGCGAGCAACATAGGTTGCGGGCAACGGATAGTTGCGGGCGACGTTGGTTACAGACGACGTGAGTCGCGGATAACGGATATTGCAGTCGCGGGCGACTGTGAGCGACTAAGGTCGCGAGAAACAATGTTTCATTTGTGTGCAACATAAATCGCGGACGACGCTGGTCAGAGCATCAGTTCGATACAAGTTATTTATAGTATTTGTTTAGCACAACGATATGAGGTATTTTATCAGACAAGAGTGTATGATAAAATCATTGAGTTAGTCAAGATGGATGGTAGAGTCTAGTTATTGAGCTAGTTAATCTTGATAGTAAACTCTGATGATTGAGCTTGTCATAATTGACGATAGAATCTGATAATTGAGCAATTTCAGCTTGACAGTCAACTTTGATGATTGAGCAAATCAAGATTGACGATAGACTATGGTATTTGAGCTACACCATCTTGACAGTCAACTTTGATGATTGAGCAAATCAAGATTGACGATAGACTATGGTAATTGAGCTACACCATCTTGACATTCAACTTTGATGATTGAGCAAATCAAGATTGACGATAGACTCTAGTAATTGAGCTACACCATCTTGACAGTCAACTTTGATGATTGAGCAAATCAAGATTGACGATAGACTCTGGTAATTGAACTACACCATCTTGACAGTCAACTTTGATGATTGAGTTAGTCAAGATTGACGATAGACTCTGGTAATAGAACTACTCCATCTTGATTGTAAATTCTGATGATTGAGTTAGTCAAGATTAATGATAGACTGTGGTAATTGAGCTACACCATCTTGACAGTCAACTTTGATGATTGAACTAGTCAAGATTGACGATAGACTCTGGTAATAGAGCTACTCCATCTTGATTGTAAATTCTGATGATTGAGTTAGTCAAGATTAACGATAGACTCTGGTAATTGAACTAGTATATGTTGATGGTAAACTTTGGTGATTGGGCTCGTCAATCTTCATGGTAAACTCAATCTAGTGTTAACCAAAGTTATTACTTTGGAGAGTTTCATGCGACACTGTGATATCATGGAGGTTGTGCACGAGAAGTAGACTTAGAGTTTGCTAACATAGTATCTTAAGTTATCTCTTTATATATTTACTCTATTATGTGATGGCTATAGCTTAGTTCGAGTTAATTCTCGTGTAAAGAGGAGCCTCGTATTAGGTTTCTCTCTAAAACTTACAACGGAGTAATTATATAGGTTACGATATTTCTATATTCTCTATGCTAGCTGGTTTTTAGTTACCTCTTTATGTTATTACTTTATCATGTTATGGCTACGGCTTAGTTCAAGTAAACTCTGGTTTGAAAATGTATCTTGTGTTAGGTTTCCGTATTGAACTTCCCGCGGAGTAATAATATAGATTAGAAAAATTACTAAGTTTCCTTAACACGAATTAAGGGGGAGATTGTTGAGGGTAACTCCGGTTAAGGAGTAACCTCTAGACTAGCTATTTATAGCTGTGACGTCGCTTGAACTATGGGTTAAATACCCTAGATTCGGCCTTGTACAGTTATTCATTCTCAACAAACCTTGAATAAAAGGTGTATCAGTGTTCCTCGTGGACATAGCACTCTTCCCTAGAGGGTGAACCACGTTAAATTCGTCTCTCATGAGTGTTTTAATGTTTTCTTGGTTTTACAATTCACACTTTGTAAGCATTAAACTCCCCACCCCTTTGCGTTTGAGTTCGGCTGGGGGGTCTAAGCAAACAAGGATAAAACACTAACACTCATAGAACTGCACTTAGACACAAGACACTTGGGCTTCCTCTACTATTGCCAATAATCTCTAGCTATCATAACCTAACTCTTCTCTCTCCTCCCTCCACGAGAGGAATCAACACACAGAAAAAAGACTCATCTTCACCACTGATTCACCCAACTATATAGCACCAGCACCCAAACACTCCAACCTGCCCTATCAACCCAACCTAATCACTAAAATTCACCAAATCTGGGCGAAGGCCGAGCGCCCAACACTTGACACGCAATGGAGCCACTCCATCCATACCCTTATCCACTATTGTCCAGATTCTCTCCGATCCACCTTTCGCCTAGTTGGTGGACGCTTGTCTACCATTGACTTCAGAGTACCTTTCAACTCCATCAAAGGCAGGAGGCCGGATGCATCCCATCTCTGTTTCTAACATTCACATCTTTGCCACTGTCTTGGCCAGTAGTACGATAGAACTCAGGCCCAGGTATTGAGCATAGGCGCTACACAGCGACTGCTTCAACATTTCCCCCTGCCTCTTCGGCACTCAACACTTGAGGCAATCCCATCTTTCAACTCTAGCCTATTCCAAACCACTTTCTTCCTATACTAGCCGCTGCGGATACCAACTCACTTTTAACAAGAACTTCCAGCAGCCTTCTTCGTACCCAGACACATCATCTGCCAAACGCTTATGTCTTGCATCGACATCTGTTCACAAAGAACCGCCACATCTGCTGCTGCACGCAATCCGTCGACGAGACTCCACGCCCCTTTCAAGATCGATAGAGGCTTTCGGCTTTCAGATAAAATATTTCAGCGGATCGTAACAATACTAGCGCAAACCCTCACAATTCCATCTGCTTGCAGCTATCCCTAACTAACCTTAACACAGCTACGATCCGTGCAATACTTGCAACAACAATCTGCACACAACCCGTATTCCGTTGCTATTTCATTGTCAAGACTTGGGCAAAAGACCAAAAATACTCTAGGAAGAAAAAGAGAACTTGAGTCGGCAGTCTCCGACTCGTAGTAGCTCTCATGCTTCTAGAGTACTGTACTATGAGCACAAAAATGCGCTCACATGTCTTTTTAACCTGATGAGAGATAAAATTTTGGATTTAAGCTCTTGCAAAATTATGCTTGGGTTTTTCTGAAAGTTTTGGCAAGATTAGGAGTTGGGGTGATGGCTAGTAGGCATAGATGAGGAAAGGGGTCTTCGGCGGTAGCAGGCCTTTGGCGGAAGGGGGCCTTCGGGGCAAGGCCTTCGGCGGAAGAGTAAAACTCTCTTAACGTTTTGAATTTGTAACTCCTTGACTAAGTTAGGGTCTTGCTGGAAAGAGCTCGAGACGCTCGTTCCAACGAGCCCAAGAACTCTTGAAACAGATAAGGCATCATTGAGTTATGAATGTCTAAAGTGGTTGATATGGTTAGGTGAAAGGCCTTCTGCGAAGGGCCTTCGGGGCAAGGGTCTTCAGCGGTAGCAGGCCTTCGGCGGAAGGGGGCCTTCGGGACAAGGCCTTCGGCGGAAGAGTAAAACCCTCATAACGTTCTCAATTTGTAACGCCTTCACTCAAATAGAATCTTGTTGGAAAGACCTCAAGACGCTCGTCCCAATGAGACCAAGATTTCTTGAAACGGATAAGGCATCAATGAGTTATGAGTGTTGAAAGTGTCTTCAGTGGAAGAGTGCCTTCCGGGCGAGGGCCTTCGGCGATACGCCTTCGGCGTTAGCAGGCCTTCGGCGGAAGTGCCTTCGGGGCAAGGCCTTCGTGCCGGGCTCATAGTCTTGGGTCTTCAGCTTTTCTTTAGTCCAAGCTTTCAATAGAGTCCGAATAGACCATGC